GAAAATTGGAAACCTTAATGATATAATGCTATATAATCTATATTCCATTAGAAATAATACTTTCTGTAGGGAGCCATAATGGGGCTGCTTTGGACTTTTCTGGAGACCGTTCATACCAAAATGACTCCTTTTTTTTTTTTTTTTTTTTACATGTTACGCACCAGTAATGTTTTCTACAGCGCATGTAGGCAGATGTTCCTGCCAACATGTACGGTCTCTGCCGAAGGACGCGGTGAGACCGCACGGTGCCGGCTTTCGCAGTTCTTCTTTCAAGCTGAAATGGCTTTTGACTCTAGAGATCACTTGAAGTTGAGCTGAATTTCCTAGCTGAAAAGTTAAACTATTGGAGGGTTTATATAATTTTAAAGAAGAAAAACATTTGAAAACCCTAAAAGGGATATGCGAAAGCTCTTTTTGGTTTTGTTTTTGCTTCCTCCCCTTCCCTGTCTTCCCTGCCCTGCGGCACATCCTCCCCGCTTCTCCTCCTCCCCTGCCCCAGCAGAGACCTCTAGAAAATGCCAAACTATGGATTTTGCCGCATCAAGTTTGGAGCACGTAACAAACATTTGAAACGCATGTGGGGCAAGTGCAGCCACCATTGGCAGTTTATTTTATTTCAAATTTTTTTTTTTTTTTAAAAACAACAACAACAAAAAAAAAACCACCACCCCGTGGCTCCCTCTCCGGCTGCGCGGGAGATAACAATGGGGCGCTTTGTGCTGCTCTGCAGCTGCTGAAATTTGACTAGATCCAACTGAAGAAAACAGGAGCAGGTGGGTCAACAACGTGACCCTTTCGTTCCCAGCAGTATCAGTGTGCGCCAGGGCCGGAGGGACCAGGGCGGAGGTGAGCCCTGACATTTAGCCCGGGCAATAAGGATGTGTTGGTTGGCGCTTTGAGGATGGGAGCTGCCTTTCTGAGATAGCCCCGGTGCCTCTAAATATCGTGGCGTTTGCTGCCATTTATAAAATGGGTTTCACTCCAAAAATGCTAGGATTGGGAAATGTCACTGTACGTGATAAACTGGCATTGCTACAGGCAAGAGATCTTTGCTGCGTTACCTGTGCTTTGATTCCCACGTTGCCGCTAGTTTCTCTGTTTGTGCGATGCTCCGTGGCTGCCACACAGATAGATGTTCCTAAAGCTCCCGATGCCCAGCACTTGCCCTCCCCTCCCACAGCCCCAAAATGGGGGATCATTTAATTGTCCCTCTAGGTCCCCCAGGTCACAGAGATGACTTCCTTCGTGTCCGTGTTTTTGCTGTGCTAGAACTGTCCTAAAAAATGTCGAGGGTGGGAATTTCTGCAGCTTGGAGGAGGGTTCGGTACGTGGTTCCCAGTATGTTTGGTGGAGATGGAGGATGTGTTTGTGTCGGGCTTTTTTGCCTGGCCCTGCTGCATCAGCAAATACATCCCACCAACACTGCCCACTTGATAGCAGGAAAAGGAGGATGGTGATAGGGAGAAAAATACTGTTACTGCTTAGCTGAACGGGTCAGCTAAGTACCAGTTGTTCCTAAGGTTTTCCCTGCCAAGGTGCGATGACTTGGTTGACTCCTTGTAGGTGTCACAGTGTGTTTGGGCTTTGTGAGCCTCAGAAGTGCTGTTAAAAGGTGGCAAAGCTCAAACTTCAGCAGTGTTCAGCAGACACATGGTTACAGCCTCGAGCCTGTCTAAGATTGCAAGGGATTTTGAGTCTGAGGCTTTTAAGGGGTAGACACGAACAACTGTTTGCAAGTCAGCAGTTAAACGCAAGGTTTCTGTTGATGGATCTTGTAATCTTGCTTTCTAATATCAACTTACAATAAAGCGAATACGATACGGAGCAGAGCTCCCCCCTTTTATGCTGTACTGTAGATACAGTTGTGATGATCAGCAACGTGTTCGTGTCCTTTAAAGTCTCCTGATTTAGCTGTAATTTTTAGTAGAAAACATGACACACGTATCGGATAATCCTACCATCACAAGCGCTTGCATCGCTTATGGGTAGGATCAAGCATCAAGGCTTAATTGTTGGCACATGATGAAGCCTGTAAGAGGACTAACAAGTTAGTCAGGATGAGATCCATGCTAAATGGGGAAGGGAGAAGCAGTGACAGCTTTGGCAGTGGGTCGGGAGCGGGAGGGCTGCCGCAGGGAAGGGTCCAGGGCGAGGAGCTGCCTGGGCTGGAAGGAAGGTGGATGGAGGCTGGAGAAGGAGCTTCTGCCGCTAAGGGCAGGGTATGTGACGGTTTGGGTGATGTGTGCTAGTACGGAAAATTGATCTGCATGACCACGTTACCAGCTGTGGAGACTCAGTCCATCAGGAAGAGGGTTGTTAATAAATCAGAGGCTCTCCATGCATATCTGCATCTTAAACTTGGTTTTTAGCAGGAACTTGCTGCGATCTGCTATGAAGGTCAGTAGCAGAGCGAAGTACAGCGCAGCAAATTTGCCCGTTGCCGTCGACGGGTGCAGAGCAGACGGAGCTGGACGGGATTTAGCAGCGTGCCGAGAAGGTTTAGACGGAGACTTCTGAAACGGTGCTGTGACCGTAGTTTGTCCTTGGCTGCACTTGCAGTTAAACCCTGTTTGGTGCCGGCTTAGCTGCACCCGCTGCCAGCCCCCGTTGTCAGCAGTGGGTAATTTAAGAGGTTTCTCCCAACAGCTGGCAGTACTGTTTACTCCGGTCCTCCCCTCCCGCCGCGGCGCTGAGCTGTCCCCCTTGCTGGCACGGTTCGCATCGGATTATGCTCTTGGACTCGCAGCCGGGTGGTGGTGGTGCCAGGATTCAAACTTGTCGCTTTGGAACAAGAAGCACAGGTGCAGGCTGAACTCATGATCCTCGGAGGCCAGCGCATACCGGGAAGGCTTCGGCATCGCTTCGGACACACGCGCGCTCATGCACGCTTCCCCGTGTGCTGGATGCGTGCTCGTATAATCCGTTTAACGCACAAGAAATGTGTCACGCAGGATGGCGCGGTCCTTTCGTGCCCCTTCCCTCCGTGCATGCAAACGCCTCCCTAGGAGTTTGGTTTAAAAATAAAATTAAAGAAAAAAGGTCACTGCGTGCTGCCTGGTGAGAGGCAACGCTGCTCTCGAAGGGAGATGCATACGTAGGGATCTAAAGGCCGTTTGGAGCTGTAGAGGCGTACGCCTTCCTGCTCAGCCATCCAGCGTGCATCCTATACGTCTGCAGGGGAACACAGTGATTAACATATGAAAACGCTGATAACAGTGGGATTCTTGTGCAGGCAGAAATGAAGGAGATATACTACCATTTTGGTGCCAGTTAGACCCATAACTGCTATTTGTGGCTGGGTTTAGTAACAATTAACCTTTCACATTTTGTATTAGCCATTGCTTTCCTGGTGCAGCTGCTTTTATAACAATATACTTCGCTTCTCTCAGAAGCGCTAATTTTGGCACTTGGGGTGTCTGTTCTAGAAACCACAGGATGTATGGAGGGAGAATGGGGATTCTTTAATAGCTGTTTGACATATAATAATCTTTTTGAGAAAAAACCCTGCATTTTGATTTAAGGGACCTTGTGCATATTAAGACAAGAAAAGGAGATTGCATGACTGCTACTGAAAATATCTTAAAGCAAATTTATTATAGTTTTGCTTGTGTGACAACATCAAATCACAAGTTTGAAAAATCTCAACCTGGTTTGCAATCAGGTGTCTCAGGCTGGAGCTGGAAGGAATTAATGCCTTTGGCAGGCGTTTCCCTGCCTGTTTGGGGTGGGCGAAGGGAGGTGTTATGGACCAAACTTTTGTCACTGCCATTTAAGAACTAGTAAAGTGCCTGGGGGACTCCTGGGAAGGAACATGGCTACAAGTGACCCATGGGCACTGTGTGGTTTAATTTAAGTAGACACGTAGATGGGAAAACCAGCATCTTAAACAGCTCCAACGAGGTTGCTGAGTTTTCAAGAATTGTCCCTGCTAGTGTGCCATTTAGTGTCTTGGGGGTTTTTTTACTTTTTTTTTTTTTTTTAATGACTTCAGAGTGCAATTGTATCGCACAGAAATACTTGAAAATAAGAGTGTGTAATTGGAGGTAGGACAAAGTTGGAATAACTTAATTTTGGCATCAGTACATTGTTACTTAAAGAAGTAATAGAGGTTGGACTTCACCTGTCAAAACAGAACTGCTGTGTTCTGGCTCTTCCAGAATAATCATTTCAATATTTATACTCTGTGCTGTGCTGGAAAAAGAAAATGCAAAATGCAGATTTGCATGAAGTAGGTTATCATCTGCCTTCTCCAAAGCGTCCGATATTGCAGGTAACAGGTTCCCTGTGTGGTTACAAGGCTGTGCTCTGATCTCAGCTCTACTGGTATTCTGTCTAGAGTGATTTTGCCAAAGCCAGCAATGTGTAAAACTGGCTTGATGGATGATTTGGACTTTTTTCATTATGATTTTTCTTTACGATTAAAAATTCAAAGCTTCTGGTTGCACGTTAATGTTGATGATGAATAAGACTTAATGTGATTTTAATCATTGTCTTTTGAAGATGAAGACTGCCCCATTTTGGCACGAATCCAGTAAAGTCAGTGGGACTGGTGCCAGTCGCTCGGTCAGTCCATGGTCCGCAGGAATCAGTAGTGGCACTGATCAGTTGTGTGCCTGAGTCACCTTGCCAGTTCCCTGGGCACTTAAATCACATTTTCCTTTGCTTCACAGAAGTTCTTACTTTTTCTCTTGCTTCATGCTGAGTAAAATAACCATGTAAACAACAAAAGTCTCAGTGTGTGCACTTGGAGAAGAACAACACAGCCCAATGCACCAAATGTAGATGCTCGTCATTCACACTGTACCTTAAAGCATCTGAATTCCCAGTGTGTGTGATGTGTGTATTAGGACAGAGGTGGTACCTAAGTTCCCCCAAGTTAAACTTAAAAAGCATTACAGGTTTCTTTTATTTCTTGGGTGTTCAAAATTTCAGAAAGGATAACTTATAGGACTTGTACAATAACTATTTTCTTTTTCATTTCTCACGTGTTGGCACTACAGGATGGGAATCACAGCTCCTGGAAACGGGATTCCTGGGGATATTCCTCTGCCCGCTCTGGACCCTCTCCCGTCTGCCCCGGCATACTCCTCCTTCCAGCATTGTCATCTGGGGCTTCCGCTGGCTGATTTTCAGGATCATGCTTGGAGCGGTAAGTGGGACTTCACGTTTTTGTGCGTTTTGAGGTGACAGCAAAAGGAGTGTCTCATCCTAGCAGAAAACTTCCCCCTGGTCCAACACATTGGAGTCCTCTGGTGTAGGAATTTTTCTGGTTGCAAGGAAGAAGCATGTAGCAGGAAATGCTTCATGCTCTGGTTCACAGAATCTTTCAACTTACTATTAGTGTTTATTTTAAGGAGGGCAAACATAGGAGTAAGAATATCTGTGTTGATATGTTGGTGCTGCTCTTGTGATTGGCTCTTGAAAAGGAATAAAAGTGAAGTTTGAGACTTGGGCATTGTGGCTTAACGATAAGATGGGAATCCAGTGGGTAATTCCCAGGAACCAGGAGCTTTACCCTGAGTTATTTTTTCTTTGTGTGTGCTTTACTGAAATGTCATTCTCTGCTCCATGTTTTTAGAGAGAACAATTGCTGCATTACTGTCCCGGTGCCAGTGGAAATTCCCAAGTAGCTTGTAAAAGAATCCATCAGGAACTGACACATCCTTGTTAAAATAAAGGCGTGGCAGGGGTGTTACCCTGTCATCTGGATCCGCATTTTGGACATTTCAAAATATCCCAAAACTTTAAGCTAAGGATCATCACTATAGGAAGAGATTGCAGGCAGGAGGGACATTCCTGTATCCATTTCCTCTAAAATCCTTTTCTCACCCCAGCTCTTAATGTGCTTGAATCCGTAGTTGACCCCAATAAGCTTTAATTATCCTTCTGCTCTTAAAAAATACAATAAAGACAAACTTTTTTTGTGCTAACCTTAGTGTTACGTGTTTTCAAGACAACTTGGTTAGTGGCAAACGTGTTATTGCAGTATATATTCTTGGAAAATGCATGCTGTACGCTTGTTGCCTCGAAGGACGGTTTCCCAACCCATGACAATTCAGCAAATTCAGCTTGAAAGAGCAGAAGGTTTTGCTTTTTCGTGTGCCTTGTGGAACTGGTATTTCAAAACCCACTCTTTGATGTTGCATTCGTTTCTTTGCCATAGCTATTGTGTAGCATTGCCAGATTTTGCTCAGCTTCCTAAAACTGCAATTCTTGTTCATTATTAATTCCTGCAATTCTTGCTCATTATTAATTAAATAAATCTGGTCCTGCTGCAGGGCGATGCAGATGGATAAAATGACTCCTGAAGGTCCACTCCAGCACAGCTTTCTATGCAGATATACGATATCTGCATGTGTAGATAATCCCATAGATTTTAATGCAACTGCTGGTTGAAAATATTCAGTGAGGGTTTATGGAACAAGTCATCTTTGTAATGCTTTTAAAATGCAATGAGGCTTTCGGTTGGAGTTAGGTGAATGGTATGGTTTCTAGCATCCTGCCACCACTGCTCCTGCCATACGCTGGGATGGAGGCTACTGGATGCATCTGTAATTGCAACTTTGCTTTAAATGATAGAAATCCAGTCTTTTAGGAAGCCTAACTTGTAGAGAGAGGGTCTTGTTTGACAGTCCCCAGGATGAGAGCGGCACATGGAGCTAATGGGAAGATCTTCGTGCTGGGCTGAACACACAATGTCAGGACACTCATGGCAAACAAGCTGTTGTGATTAGGTAGGTAAGTGCAGAATTACTTAGACTCTTGCAGTCTGTTTCCTGGAGTCTTTTCCTGGGACAGATGGGAAGTTGCTATTAGAAAAAAAGCTGGAACGGGTCTTAGCAAAACTGCTGATAGGAAAGGAATCGAAGTGGGAGCATCTGCGGAGCTTGGTGCTGTTTATGGGAAAACAATGTCGGAAGGGAAGTGTGGTAGCCAAGTGAAGTGCAGTGTATGGTTTTGGGGGAGAATAAGGGAAGATAATCCTTGAAAATGGCCTGCCTTAAACCAACAGACAGTTTGTAAATCTGTGCGTGGGCTCTGCTGCAGCATCAAGAGTCCGTAGCCTGGAGAAGCAGTCGGGGTGCTTCAGGGCTGGCACCACTGCAGGCTCCTGGGGCACAGAGGCACTGTCTTCATGGCATCAGGGACGGGTCTGCGACGGTACTTACTGCTCAGTGACACTTCTGCACGAGGCGGCCGGTTGACTTGCTGCTGTCTCCTGCAGAGCTCCTTGGGGACGGTAATTTGCAGTCCACATGAACATCAGAGATGATGAGATGTGGGTCTCCGTGCAGTTGATCCAACAGGTATTAAGGGCATGTTACTGGACTAGTGAGAATGGTTCTGGTTTTTGGATGAGAAAGTAAGGGTGGGTTTGGTATTAAATTTTTGTGAGAAAGTGTCTGTTGTTCTTGATGCTTTCCCGTTTCTCATTTGGACGTCATGTTGACTTGGTTAAAACAGAGATCTTTCAAAGTTGGCTGGAGAAGGTCCCCGTCACATCTACCCTTGAGCTGGCTGGAGCCACGTGTCCCCGAGCCGTGGGATGGCTGCGGGAGGTCACAGTCCCAAGGGCAGCTGCTCTCCGCCTGAGGAAGGATTTCTGCAAATTTAATGCAGTGCTTAAAACTTAACACACCAGCCACTATTGAGGCATGGTTTTCACACTAGTTTTCAAGTATTTTAAGCAACTGTTTAGGGAACCCAGTTGAAGGCTGCTAACCTGCCAGGAATATCCATCCACATTTTATTACAAATTAAATTTCCTGTCCTCTCCTTTAAGCACAGAATGATAAGCACTTTAGTAGCTGGCCTGTGTGGTTTCTTCATTATATTTTTTGAGGGCAGCAAAGGTCTAAGTTGTTAAAGATTAGTGAGTGCAGTAACACAGCGCTGGCTGGCCTTTAACGACAGTCACGGGGACCTGTGTGGGTGACCCGAGGGGTCCCAGCCTCTGCAGGACCCCTGTGCAGTGATTCGAGAGGAGCTGAGAGTGTTCCCTGTCTTGCCGGATTAGATCCCATGAGGTGACCTGTTAATCCTCCGACCTGGTGAAGTCCAAGATGCAAGTTACCTTAAATGCAAGTTAGACTTTGCTTTGACTGCAGTGCTTGGGGGGGGCATGGTTGTGGGTGGGAGGTTCTGGGTTTTTTGGGGTGGGTTTTTTTGCTTGTTTGGTTTTTTTGCCAGGAACCTCATTGTGAATGTATTATTTGGGCCATATATCACCTATGATATTTTCACCAAATGTCAGTATAGCCCCTTTGTCCTCAATGGATGGAGGCTGATTCCTGTGGTCTTGATGCTTCTCAGCTTCTGAAATGCTGCTTCTCAGTTGTGATGCTGATTATAGAAAGAATCGACAGTCCATGACACCACATGTAGGGAAACACAGCTAATTTTCTTAACAAGTTATATTATGATTATCAAGTTTGCATCCTGCTTTCCTTTTAAAATGGGAGTCTGACTGAGCTTTGCTCTGTTCCTGCTTATTTATAATATATATTCTGAATTATGGGACAGATTGGATATAAAGGAAAACCGTGCTCACCAGACATCTTTGTTACTGTTATCTCTGCTGCTTCTTGGTTTTATCTGGAGAGTAATAACTCTCCTGTTATTTTAGGGAGAGCCCTCTGCAGAAGAGATGCCGCCCCTTGAGTCCCTCGTCTGTCTGGGTTACTGATATATAAGTAACAGGCATGGGAGAGGAAAACATGGAAAGGTCATTAAATGGGGATCTATACAAGCAAGTGGAAATCGGTGATTGATGGTATCTTTAATGTTTTGGGGCCCAAACACATGTACGTTTCCTTCTCGGCCGGGATAATGATGCTTGCAGGCACCGGGAAGCGAGTTTAATGCGTGAAACCGAAGTATCCTCCTGGAGCGCAGATGCACCTGCTCACAGGCCATCTTTGATTTCTTCCCTCATCTGGGCAGGAGCTGAAGCATGTGCACAAATGTGGACTGAAGGAAGTTTATCCTAGGGGTAGGATTGGCAACGATGATATCTTGCACAGAAAGTTCGACTGTCCCGCGTGGTTCTCTGGGGACCCTTCTAGCTGGTTGAGGTGAGGCTTTCCTTGGAAAATGGCATCCTCCAGGCAAACGGCATTCCCTTGAGTCAGCTTGGTTTTTCTCACCTTGTGCTGGATGTTAGGTGAGCAGTGCCATGTGCGGGTTTGAAACGCGCCCGAGATGGGCAAGCTTGTCTCTCTTTTGCAATGTGATGGCTCCTAGTGAAGACTTCAGGTTCTTGTCCCATAGCTCTTCTGCTTTCTGCAGCAGCTTCCTGTATCATGGGGGTCGATTTCACTTGTCAGCCCCTTTTTTTTCATTCAGCGTATCATATTTGGGAACTTTTTCCATGTGGAGCTCTAGCAACCAGAGACTTTGCATTGAAGCACTAGGAATTCCTACCAAAAGGAATGCTGATGCGCCGATGCCCATTGCAGCCCCTCTTGTATCAGCCTGTGAAGGAGCAGAAGATCAAGCCCAGTAAGCTGCTGGCTACAAAATGAACCTGACTGTAAAGAAGGGAGGCTGGACCTACAGGATGTTATTTCCTAACCAGAATTGGCATGATTGTTGCTATCGGTCTCCCCAGAGCACATTAATCATCATCTCAAAAGCTTCCCATATCCTATCACCCCACGCGCTTGTTTACAACCTCCTAGTTAAGGAGCACTGGAGCAGTGATACGTCTTTATACTTTCCACCACGTAAACCATAGAAGTCCACAGAGCTGGTGGAAGTTGTCTGAGCAGCACATGAAGGTCACGGACGCGCTGCGCCTGCTCCCCTGCTTTGCTGCTGCCTTTTCTTTTGTGTCTCCCTGTTAATCTCTGTCCTGCATAGGAGGTGAATATTGCTCCTGACACATCCCCAGCATGGTCCTCGTTCCTCCTCTCTCAGTCTTAACCAGGTGTTTGCCGCTGAAGCATGCGAGCACTGTTGTCCGGCTCCAGACTGGTGTACGGGAGCCTTGCTGTTTCCTGACTAATCCTCCCCCCAAAAATCATGTCCAGATCTTGCTTTATTGTGCATGCCTTCCCTGGGGGCTGGCTGGGCTTGCTTAGGGGGGATACAGCATACGAGAAGTAAAATAATCCCGGCTGCGTACTTGCAGGAGGTGAGGAGCACAGG